TTGATTTACTGTGTTGAGTTTGTGTATACTTATTAGCTATCACTTACAGATGAAGTAGGATCGGAGACTGGACTAGAGTTGCGTGCTTTCGAACCTAGCGTATAGAGGAAATAGAGCAGAGAGTATGACTAGTGAAACGGAATAATTACATAGTTGGTAGCAAGTAACTCATTTTGAAATAAGAAATTGTGAATTCGTAAATTATTATAATGATGGATATACAATGGAGAAATTTTAGAAATTAAATGACTTGATTCAAATATTTTCTATGTGTATGATCGAATTTATTTATGGAATGATACATGTTATGCCACGTATGCTAACAGGGTCCGCTGATGCTAAAAAAAAAAAATCAGGGGGTTACGGTAATCAATTACAATTCATATATCATATAATTTGTAAATATTACATAAAGTAAAATCTAAGAATGATGCACATTATTTTTATTTTTTAATAAAAATACAAAAATATTTTAATATTAATTATAATTTATGTATTATAAAGAGAAATTTTAGATATTATCAACTCAAATTTTAAAAATTATACATAATAGAATTAAAATTTAGTATCATAATATACATAATATTATCTATTTAAAATTTTAAAATATAAAAATAGAATTTAATTTTTAATTGAAATGAAATACTTTATTATTTTTAAGTATAAAAATAATTTTGGTATATAATAATTATTTATTTAAATTTTTAATTATAAAAAATAAATTTAATCTTTAATTAACTATAATTTATATATTATATAATTAATTTTTAAAATTATAACCTGCATATAACACAGGATAAAAATATGGTCGTATATATAAAATTATGAGTTAGCATCGGTTCAAATCCGGATTGGACAAAATTGGATTGAAACTAAACTAATTAAAATTTTTATAAACCAAAGATCATATCAAAGTGAACCAAAATTTGTTAATGTTTATCATTGTATATGAGACTTACCTTTTTATGTACTGAATTGGTAGGCTAAAATGGTAAATCAATAACATTGTTTTGAAATTCATATTTACATAAATGGTAAAATAACCTAGATATATTCGTTTTTTTTTTTGTAAAGTCTTGATTTATGTTGTTTAATTAGTAATTTTTGGACTGAAGATTCGGTCAAACATTTTTCGATCTGATTTTCCAGTGTTAATTAGATAATGTTCACTCATTTATATAAGAATTACCTATTTGTGTATAAAATTAGTAGGGTAAAATGATAAATTGAGTAACAATATTTTGAAATTAATATTAACAAAATAATGAAAAAAACTTAGGCTTATGTATATTATAGGTAGAATCTTGATTGATACTGTAAAGATCCGAAACTTTAAAAAAAATAAATTTATAATCTAAAAGTAAAAGTAAATAATAATGTTAAGGTTTATATTCTTTATACAATAAATTAAATTGTCCAATAAGTATACGAAAATATCCATTCTACATGGTTCATAAAAAACAAACGATAATTAAAGAAAAACAAATAAATAAGTATCATATGGCAAAATTCATTAGCACTTAAAGTGAGTCCGAGATATGTACTACTCACAATCTCTTTACTGATTGGGATCTTGATTTTAGTTTTCTTGATCTAAAATGATTAATGAAATGGTGAGTTACAATAGCTCAGTAAAAATATCACACTAATCACTGATACGAAAAAATTGAAGGTTGATAAAACTAAAAAAAATAACTAATAGAGCCCTTATTTAAGTAAATACATTTAACTTTAAAATTTTTTATTCGATACTTACCGTACAGTTTTTTTCAAAATCAACCTATGAAAACCATTGACCAAATGACATTTTAATTTCATGCATAAACTCAATAATTCTCATTTTTTAACTTACTTACTGGGACTTCTGATGGTCCATAGGAATGTTCCTCTACTTATGAACCCAGTATCAAGATTTGAATATTAACCTGACCGTTTCCAAATTTCGTCCAGTAATAGGTGCCAAAAACACCATCGTCTCGATACACTGTCCAATACGAGGGTGAACTATATCTCTTAACCCTTCCAGTATGGAATTTCTTAGCCCCGTTTGACTGAGATAATGTCCACGGTCGAATTTTCTATGTACTGGGTCCGTCCACCATTTCTCAGATGCCCAGTAAGTTTTCGTTTATTTAGACTCTCATCGTCCAAATAACCACTAAAATATACCATCATCTCATTTCATTTTTACAAATTAATTCAAATGACACTTAAACAAGTGATATAGTTTAGCATAACAAAAAATAACCAAAATACAAAATAAATAATGCAAGAGGAACCAAATAACTAAATAATCGAGAAAACTATAAAAGTCATCAATTCAATTACACACATTATAATAGTAAGCAAATATAAGTATTACATAAAGATAAATAGAAAATCAGGATAAATGTGAACTAATCAGTTTTGACTCCACTAGTGTCATGTAATATTTTTAGGATTTTTTTAATTTTCACAAAATACACAATTATCGATTATTAATTCTCAATTTACCGTAACCGAGAATAGGGTGAGGGATCCTTATCTGAATCGGTGTTTTAATATGTCGCGCTATCTATCACGCCTCCTAACGGGTCCTGAAATTCCTGAATTTTTATGCGAAAATTCAAATACTCATCACGCAACTAAAAATATGTCAAAAACATGCGAAAATTCAAATACTCGTCACACAACTAAAAATATGCCAAAAACCCCAAATTAGTGTAAAAAATTCTTTCAGGCCAATTTTAGGGTTCTAGCACGGCGATGCTGCTGTGCTCCGGCACTGGCTCTAGCGCCAGCAGCAGTAGTTCGTCTCGACCTGGTCAGTTTTACATGTGTCCCTGCAGAAAAACACATTAAGGAACCTTGATTGGGCAAAAAGTTACAAAAAAAAAAACCAAATCTATCGCCGGGAGGGTCTCTAGGTGCAGCGGCTCCGCCGATTCTCCTTTGCAGTTGGAATTTCTTCTTCAGCTAATCTACACAGAAAAGAAATGTGAACATAATAGTCGAAAAATTGCGTAAAACGGAAAACATGAAGGGGCTCATTGGAGGAATTTTAAGATTTCGGCCGCGGCAACTCCGCCGAACTTTGCCCATGATTTTCAGCTCACCCTCCCTTTTGCTCCGATATAGCTATGGGGAGACTGAAAATCGAATTCCGAGCGGGTAGAAGGGAATTTTACCTTTTTTTTACGATCAACGGTGGCTCTGGTACGGTGGCGGCCTAGGGTCGGTCTCCTTCTCCAGTGGTTGGTCATTCTTCTCCAGCGAGGGCAGGGCGACTAGGTTAATGTTCCCCTGCGATGCGATATTCATATATTCATCTCGCGTCGATCTGAGTCGTCCATTCGCATCGGCGTGGAGTGAAGAGAATTGTCTAATCGTTGCCTGTTTAGGCCGATTGCGTGGACGAATCTGAACCGTTTATCGCAATTGACTTCATCTATTTGATTGCGCATAAGGAGGGAATGCATCTGAGCCGTTCACGCGCGGAGGATCGAATCTCGGCCGTCGAATTGCTGGGCATGCGGATCGCCCGCGTGGCCTCTCCCGTGATGCCAACATCAACGTGTTTTGCCATGCAACATGCTCTGGTTCATCGAGGCTGCTGACTGGGCAGTCCCACGTGACCAAATTTTTTATTTTTGTATTTTAACCTCCTGTTTTCAATTTTTCTTTCAAAAATACTATCTGAACTCAAAATTTTACCCATTTTTTTCGAAATTATTTTCAATTACGTCTCTAATTTATTTTTCTCAAATAATTTAATAAAATTAAATTAAAATAATTCTTTTAATTTTTTTTATAGCACGAAAAATTGATCTCGGGTCAAATTTCGGACCCAGGTATTACAGATACCGTTGGAGTAGTAACTTTGGGGACCGAATATTATATTGAACATTACTCGGTTTTGTTCAATCTGATTTTCTAGTCTAAATTGAATAATCCACATTTTCTATATAAGATGTATCTATTTATGTAGAAAATTAGTAGGTTAAAATGGTAAATCGGTGTTTTAAAATTAATTTTTACAAAAAAAACAGTAAAGCAACCTAGGCCTCTCTATATTCTAGGCAAACCCTTGATTCATACCCTTTTTGTAGCAATTATTTTACTACATATCTAACATTTATTTAAAAGTCATATTTTACCAAATATTATTAATCGGCTCCTAGAAGAAAACGTGAGTAATTGTAATACATACATACAAATATATATACACACACATATATCCACATGAAGAGTCAAAATCTGTCAGCAATACGGGTCCATGGGTATAATATGCACATGCATATATATATGCATATACCTACTACTCAGTTTTTTTTTTTTTTTTTTTGTCTCTATCTCAAAACGTTAACTCAGTTTTTAACCCGTTTTTGTTATTTTAAATAAACAACTTAACAATTTTGCTAATATGAAATTTAGTTTGTTGATTTTAATCCAGCAGATACATTATTAATAAATGTTAATTCAGCTTTTAATCCATTTTTAATCATAATTTGCTAATTTAAAATTTAATTTAGTCACTAATTCACTAATAAACTAAACCCTAAACTCATTAAATAAAGAATTAAGTTTATATCATCATTAAATCATAATATAAAACTTTTAGGTGCAGCACTATCGCCTGAACTGGTGATAGTACTCATCGTTTTTCACAAAAAGAAGAGAGAAAAGGAAGTAAATTTAAGTTTGAATAGCAACCGACATTAACCAGACATTCCGATCATGGTGCGTTAAACACATGTACGCCATTAAAATTACGTTGCTTTGTCTCACGAACAGGCTTTCGCAAGGTTTCAAGAATTGATTGGTGCACTTGGCGCACCATCCCCTACATACCTTAATTTATATATTTACATAAATATACACAAACACCCACTACAGTTCCATATATATATAGAGAGAGAGAGAGAGTCTTACACGATGAATCAAGCTATACACATAGGTGATATATATGAATCTTAGTCATTCATAAGAATCTTATTAAGGAGAAGAAGGAAGATAAGATCTCAGGATGGTAATTGGGATTCTCGTTCTCGTACCAAAACACGGAGACCGCCGTTAAAAGTAGCAGTGAGTCCAGGCGAGAATCGCGGGGTACTGCCTGACGGCGTTAATAAATCAAATTCGAATCGTCGGACAAGTGAAAGTACGACGCTTTTTAGCTCCATTACTGCCATTTCCTTTCCCAAACACACCCTAAAGCCTGCCTGAAAAATAGGGTACTTAAAAGGGTTTTCCGGCAAGAAAACGCCGTCGTTTTTCAACCATCTTTCGGGCTTGAACTGCAAGCAATCAGAACCCCATATGTCCTCCATCCTCCCCATGGCGTAAGGATGGTAAGTAACCCTAGTTCCTTTCTTCACGAAACTCCCGTCTGGTAAAACGTCGTCTTGTACACAGAATTTCGAGTCGAACTGGATTGGTGGGTAAAGTCTCATGCTTTCGTAAACTACAGCGTGAAGATAATGGAGTTGCTTCATTTGTTGAAAGCTTTTAAGCTCCTCGTTTGCTCCGAGAACTCTCTCTGCTTCTACCCTAATGGCTTTCGTTACTTCTGGGTGGTTTGATAATAACCAGAACAAGCTTGTCAAGCCGGAAGCCACCGTATCCCGACCTGCTAAAAGAAAACTTATGACTATATCCCTGAGGTAAGTTTCATCGGTTATGGAAATCATGAAACGAGAAAGAAGATCTTCACGAGTTGAAAACCCCATTTTACGCCTTTGCTTGATCACTTCTCTGGCTAAGATGCTGATAGTTTTAATGGCTTCTTTTAACTGCTTCTCGCTTCCGATGTTCAACATCCGTTTAATCTTCCAGATCGCCGGCAACGCCGTCATAGCTCTCTCGGCGGAAAGCTTTGAAGCCAGGTCAAAAGCGAGAGCAAACTCCGAAATAGGCAGAGTTAATTCTAAACATCTCGGGTCAAGCCCGAATGAAAACCGGCATATGCTGTCAAAAGAGAATCTCCGAAAAACATCTTGCAGATCTGAAACGCCGCCGTTTAGTTCATCTTTTCCTGCAACCGAGGATAATAAGGGGATAAGTCTGTGGTGGATCTCGTAGTTGACGATCTCAAACCCGTAGGATCTTATCGAGACCCTAGCAAGCTCGAGACTCGCCATCTTCTTCTGGAATCGCCATGAATCGCCGTCGACGTTGAATATTCCTCGGCCGAGAAAGTCGCCTAAGATGACGGAAAAGGGTTTCCCTTTCGGGAAATTATCGAACCGGGTTTTTAGCATGTACTCGACGTTATTTGGGTTGGCGGTGATGGTGTTGCCGAGGACATGGATGTGGATGGTCTTGGTGGCCGAGTTTTTCAATAGATCGGCGTACCAATCGCAGAGGTTATCAAATCTTTTTGACCAGCTGAACGTCAGATAAGCATCGCAGACCTCACAGTTGCACCAGAGCTTCCGCTTGATCATCACGATATAGAGAGAAACAGCAAGAAGATAAAGCATGATGAAGCAGATTAAAGAAGAAAGAAGAGGCCCGAGAAGCTGCAAAAGCCAGGAAGCTGCTTCAATCTCCCGCTGATATTCTTCCATTGTCGATGGCAAAATTATCGTCAATATCATGATCATTTAAAAGTAAAACCAAGAAATTTATAAATTAAGCTAAATAAAAGAAATTTAATTAGCATTCAGAGGAGAACAATACGACAAATTATGAAGGTTTTATCATTTAATATGCAATGGGTTCTGAAGTTGCACCTTTTTCAGGTACGTATCATAATTTTTTTTTTTATATATATACTAATTTATTTTCAGTTTCAGTGGCATTCTGTTTATACTGTATGAAATTATATTCTAACGAGAATATTGTCTTCTCGTATTTTTTCTTAAAGAATGGGTCTACTCATATTCTTAATTGATATTTAATATATATTAAATATAAAAATAAAGTTTAAATATATAAGATATATATTTATGTAACGGATATGATTATTAAAAAAATAATTTAAATAATAAAATATGATGCAGCGAGGATGGGACATGAAAACCCCGTGCGCCAAATAATGTTACCCGACGCATCTTTCGCTAATTACCTAGGTTGAGTTATGTCAAGCTGAGCTGGAAATAAATAAAATATTAAATAAAATTATAATAAATTGTTGAATTTATAGTCACGTGTTTTTATTTATATGTTTATTATAAATAAAAAAAATCCAGAGTATATTTTTGTGTGCCCAAAATCAGTAGATGGCAGTCTGAATTAATCTTTTTGAGCTAAACAGCTTTATTGAGGGGGCAAAAATACCTAATAATTTTATCCAAACAAATCCCATCAGCAACAATTAAGTGGAAAACAGATATAAAATCCTAGGAAAATTTTCACCCTCTTACATTTGCCTAACCATATATACCCTTTTTAAAAATGAGTATTTTTACCTTTTCTTTATAAAAAAAAATAGAAACCAAATAAAGATATAAATATTTAGATCATTATTTAAATAAAAAGTTAATCGAATTAAATATTATTTGATTTTATCTACTTTGCTTACCGATCTCGTTTGGACATTGTATTTTCGGTTAATGCAGGGGATTAGTTTGTAAATACCCTCTAGTTCTTCATTAAAAAGTTGTTATATGTATGATATTTGATTAAAAATCCTCATATAACAGTTATTGTGTAAGTTCCATGAGCATTTGCATATTGAACGTTTGTAAAATATCGACTGGCTTAGTTTTCTATTACATAGAAGATCCACTGTTAGCTATTGTATATTTTTTATAGTGGGTCAACGTATAAAAGTAAAAAGTAAGTGTATGTGTTTATTTTAGTGTTGAAGTTGAATAAAGAACTATGATTTAAACTGATTATGAATTATTATACCTTAAATTATTTGTAGCAGACATTGAAAATTTTGTTTATTTTTTATTTTTCATTATTTTTTAATTAAAAAAGTCAATATACTTCTACTAGTATATGACATGAACTCCAATGTTAGTTGGTACACAGTCTAATTTTATATAATTTTATAATAATAAATACTTCTAAACCTAAAGTTATTGTCCAATAATGAGATAACAAACTTGATTATTCTTTTATAAATTAGTCATCATCATCTGTAGCGACTATTTATTAGTTTTAAAATTTTAAAATATCTGTTAAAAAAATAAAAATTAAACTTTTACAAATAAAAATAATTTGTAGGCAGTTGAAATTATAAATGAAATACTATCTTCTTAAAGAATTATTACGAAAATGTTACCTTAAATGTCGTGTAAGCTTGGTAATGTACATATAAGTTATTTTTATTAATAAATTTGGGAGATTGAACTCGTAAGATTATAATATTTAAATTCTTTGTATGAAAAAAGAAACCTTTAATTTTTACGAGTCTGAACCAAATAGTGTTATACATATCAGCATAAAAGAGATCGGTGATGCTATTAGAGGATCTCTCAACTTCACATTACTAATGGAGTAGTCATAAGCCATGTTTTATAATAATTTATGTATAAGTTATATATTAATTAAATACCAACACAACTCGCCCAGCTTGACTCGGCACCACCATGATTCCTCGTCTCCATAACGATAATGATGTCGTTGATTTGCATTGGATGGTGTTGTAAAGTGCGACGAGATGACTCTGAGTCAAGTCGACTGAGCCAAAACAGTCATACATTGTTGATGATTCATCTCTGCTCATCTCACCCTCTCTCCTCAAGCTTCTGTACTGTGTGCTTGGTGGAGAAGAAACGATACACTGATGATATGGACAAAATTTTTCACATCATTAATGGTGGCGTTTATTAACGGATTAACTCTGAATATTTATTTAATATACAAAATAAAAAATAATTTTAAAACTTAAATAAAAAATAATTAAAAATTTGCAATAGTAAAAAAGTAATTTTACTATTTAAACTTTGGTTTATATATAATACATGCTCGTGTTAATAATTACACGCATAGGAAAACTATAGAAAAATGATTTTTGGTTGTATAGTCCCGAGCAGAAAAAGAAATACAGTGGACACGTGCGCACACACATGCATGATTATCAAATATTTAATTAACGTATAAATTCGGTAAATCTAGGTGTGATGTAGAGGACTTCTTTGTCCCATATATAAAATCTTATAATTATTATAATTTTTAAATTCTATAATTAAAATGAAAAAAAAAAGTTTTTTATTTTATATTAAATATTTTACAACCATATAAAACAAAAAATTAAATATTTTAATTCAATGAGAATTTGATGAGTTGATTTGCCATATATAATAATTTAGATTCATCATCTAATTTTCTTAAAAGTATATTGTATAAATAATTTATTTATATAAAACTAATTTTCTTTTTAATGTGTAAAAATATGGGTGTAAAGAATAATATATATACATATATATAGACATGATATATTTACTTGATGTACGAATTAATTATTTTCAGTAAAAAAAAAAAAACAACAACAACAACAACAAAAGAAGAGAGACTACAAAGACATATGCGGTGGCCCAGTGTTCAGAAAATAGGAGGAAGGTGTTGACCGAAATCATAATGAAATGTGACATGTTGACACAGGAGGAATAAAATAGGCAGTGGGGTCCAGGAAAAATAACGCCGAAATTCAACAGGTCATGATATCGTCATTATCAGCTAGTAATTATATAATTTATATAATTAATTTTTACTTCTTATCTATATCCTATGGTCAACTCTTACTGGTCTTAAATTGACATATATATATATAAATATAATTTATTACATAATATAATAAAGTGATATAAGATTATGTTAATGATGATGCAAAATTTAAGTTCTTTAATGGTAGAGATTCTTGAATTAATTAGGAAATTAATTGGACCATTATTTATTATTGATTTCGTATATATATATATATATATATATAAATATATATTTGGAAGGTAATTAATTGCTTGAATAATATTGTTTTATTATTAATTTACCATGTATAAAATATTATTTGTTAAGTACTACAAATCAAACGGCATGAAAGCTTAGTAAATTATTTAAATGGGTAATGCTTATCTCTACCAACCAAACTGCTAGCTTTTTTAAATATTGTCTCATAATTTTAAAAAATAATTAACTAAAATCAAATTGTAATAAACTATTTTTAAAATTAAATAATTAATACTATTAATATATATATATATAATTGATAAGGTCTATTTTTGTACTGAGTACACGTGATTAAAATCAATAAATAATTTTTATACAAAAAACAAATTAAGAAAGAACAAAAGAGGTTAATATTATTTAATTTAATGAACCGTAACTAAATCAAACTATTTTAATTATTAATTTAAAATTTTAATGGCATAATATAAAAATATATAATTGCTATAATAATATTATTAAATAACAAATTAGAAGTAGTTATAATTATTTTATTTTCTTCTAATTACTTTAATAAGTTTTCTTTAATTAAATTATCAATTATTTTATTTGGCATGTGAATTTCTCTCTCCTTGTCTTTGTTTAGTCCATGTCATCTGACAATATATATCAACCTTAGTAATTATAACATATATAACTACACATAACCTTAATAATTATTATAAAATAATTGATTGAATGTGACAACCAAAAACAATGTACAATTTTTATTGGCCTAAAAAAACGTATAGAGTACTGATAATTGATTGAATTTATGGAATATGTGATTGGTTCAAAATTTTAACATACTATTATTATTTTAATTAAAAATATTTAATTATTATGAAATATTATTTTTATTTAAAATTTTATATAAATTTATTAAGATTTACTTTAAATTAATCAATGCAGTCTCACAAGTATAATAATAAATTAAATATTCAGTTTTATTTAATTAAATATTATAAATTAATTATTTTTAATTTATAATATATTCATAGAATATAAAGTAAGAAATTCTAACATTTTTAATAAAATTCAAACTCAAAATTTTTAAATAAAATAAAAAAATTTAATCCATTAAATCATAAAATCATTAGTTACTCTTAAGTTTAGTTAACTCGCATTATATATATATATATGCAAAAAAATAATATACTAATTGTAATATTCGGATTCGAAAATTGATTCGGGATGATTTTTTTACTTTTTATAAAAAAATATATTTAATTTAATTTAATTTTATTAAATTTTTTGAGAAAAATGAATTATGGACAAAATTAAAATTTCTTTTTGAAAAAAATAGGTAAAATTTTGAAATCGGTAGATCTTTGTAAAAAAAAAATTAAAAACAGGGGGTTAAAATATAAAAAAAAAAAATCGGCCACATAGAACAACTCAGTCA